TTGCTTGTAGATGTTACTACACTTCGAGTGAAGTTAACCTGTGGCCAATTCAATTGAATGGGTATGATTTGGAAAGGCACATACATCGTAATAAAAGGTCTAACAGCTGAAAATGCATTTGAGAGCAGAAACCAAGCCCTGATTTAAAAAAATTAATAAATAAATAAAAACTGCCTGTAGAGCTCAGAAACAGGATTGTTCAGAAAAAATTCTGCTGCATTGAAGGTTCACAGAAGCATGTAGTCTCTGTTAAACTTAATGTAAGAAGTTTGAAACAACCAGGACTCTTCCTAGAGCTGGCCTCCTGGACAAACTGAGCAATTGATGGAGAAGGGTTTTGGTTAGAGTGGTGACCAAGAACCTGATGGTCACTCTAGTTGAGCTCCATGATCATATGTGGAGACAGGAGAAACCTACAGAAGGACAAACATCACTGCAACACTCCACCGATCTGGGCTTCATGGCGTTATGGCCAAACTCAATCCTCAGTTTGGCCACACCGGTGAAGACACACGAAAACACACTTGGAATTTGCAAAAAACCACCTTAAGGACACTCAGACTCTGAGAAACAAGATTCTCTGGTCTGATGAACCTCAATTCCAAGCATCATGTTTGAAGAAAACCAGCTCTGCTCATCACCTGCAGAGTACCTTCCCAAAAGTAAAGTGTGCTGGTAGCAGCCTCATGCTGTGGGGCTGTTTTTCAGCGGCAGGAACTGAGGGACTCATCAGAGTAGAAGAAAAGCTAAATGCACCAAAATATTGAGATGGCCTTAATGAAAACCCAGTCCAGAGCATTCAGAACAGCAGACTGGGCAGAAGGTTCACCTTCCAACAGGACAATGACCCTAAGCACACAGCAAGAGTGGCTTATAGACAACTGTGTGAATGTCCTTGAGTGGCCCAGCCAGAGACTGGGCTTGAACCCAATCAAATATTTCTGGAGAAACCTGAAAATGTGCATCTGCCCCCATCCGACCTGACAGAGCTTAAAGGAGGTGAAGAGGTGAGGAGAAGAATGGCAGATAATTGCCAAATGTTGATGTGCAAAGCTTGTTGTATCATACCCAAAAAGACTTGAGGCTGTAAAGGTGCTTCAGCTAAGTACTGAGTTAAGGGTATGAATACTTTTTTTATTTTTAATAAATTTACGAAGATGTGACAATTCTGTTTTTGCTTTGTTATTATGGTGTAGGGAGGGTAGATTGACAAAAAATTAATAACAAGCAGTTTAACATAAGGCTGCAACATAACA